GCAGGAACACAACAGCACAGTCATGGAAGCTGCAGGATGGAAACACAGAGTTCAGGAAGCAAATCCCACTGTTCCCTGGATGGGAGGCTGGAGGCAGTGGCTCATGGAAGTGCTGTTTGATTCGTCTCCAGAGGGAGGCTGGGTGAGAGGATGGTTTTGGAAGTTGTTCCACTGGGTCACTTAGAGTAAAACTTGGGCAAGGAGTTCTTGGCAGTTTGAGAAGTTCACAGCCCATCCCTGGAAGTGTCCAAGGCCGGGTTGAACGGGGCTTGGAGCAACCTGGGAGAGAGGAAGGTGTCCCTGCCCGTGGCAGGCGTGGGACCCTTAAAGCTCATCCAGTCCCATCCCCTGCCGTGGGCAGGGACACCTTCCTCTCTCCCAGGTTGCTCCAACCAGGCCTTGGACAACTTCCAGGGATGGGGCAGCCACAGCTGAAACCTGGTGAATAGTAGGAGCTCTTTGGAACAAACCTCCAGGATAGGGGGGTCTGTGATGGGGGTGAGAGATTAAAATAACTCTGCTGAACCTTCCAGAGGAGCTGCCAGGAAGATGGATTTTATTTTTCCCAACAAACAGGTTCCTCACTGCGTGCACAAGGATTCTGAGCACGGAAAGGAACAGATGGGGCAAACCCTGAGTGTGACAGATCAGCTGTGCCTGGAACACCGAGAGATCTAAACAACCCTTTTAGAGAAAAATAATGTGGGAATTAAAGGAACACGATTGATTTGCTGTGGGATGGTTTGAAGATCTCCTGGGGTGTCCAGCTCCAGGAAAACCCTTTTCCTTGGCTGTAGTGCAGCTGTGGGATTGGTGAGGCCGTGGTCTGCTCCTTCCACACCTTCCTTGGAGCAAACTGCTCACCTTGGTGAGTCCTCCAGGGATGCAAACCTGGAGCCAGGCAGGCTGGTGTCACCCCATGGCTGCTGCCTCTGCTCTTAACGAACACAAGGACCTTGGCAGCTCTTTCTCAGCTGAAGGATTGTTTGGAATCATGGAATCACAGGATCACTGAGGCTGGAAAAGCCCTCCCAGCCCATGGATCCCCCCTGTGCCCGATGCCCACCTTGTCCCCCAGCCCAGAGCACTGAGTGCCACGGCCAGGCCTTCCTGGGACACCTCCAGGGCTGGGCACTGCAAACCTCCCTGGGCAGCCCCTGACAAGGCCTCACCACCCTTTCCAGCAACAAATTTAGTGCATTTGTAAGCCTCTGCCTTCCCAAACCTCAGTCATTGCTCAGTTTTGCCCTTTCATCCTAAAGGTTCGTGTTAGAATCCATCCTCCCTGGGCTCTGGGGATGTCTGATTTCATGGCTATGGAAGCAGTGGATTAAGGACCATCTTGGTGACGATTCTTTGATGCTTCCTGGCTGACTCTGTTCCAGAAGAATGGAAGTGGTGTAGGAAGCATCTGTCTCCCTGAACTGCTCAACAAAGGAATGTTCTTTGGGATTTGCTTTCTACCCTTGGGCAGAATCCGTGCAATATATTCATTTTCCTCCTGTCTTTGTTAACTCTGCAGGCCCTGGGAATCTGGGAATTGGTGTAGTTTGGCTTCTCTAACAGCAGAGATGGAAAGGGAGAGATTCCCAGGGGTGTTCTGACCCCCCTGGGCTGGGGGGGATTCCTGCAGCCTCTGGGTGAGGGAGGTTTGTACCAGGTGCTTGTCTGAGACACCAGTTCCGTGTTTGCTACAAAAATGCAGATTGGCTTTTCTTAGTTACACTGATTTATTTTTATACATAGTTTCTGCATTCCCTATTTGGCTAAATATGGACAAGGAAATGTCCTGCTGATAAGGCTGCATGACCTCATTATTATTTTTCCTCAGAAAGCAGATCACTTTAGTGTCCTAGTTCCCGTGTAGGTCTGGAATAGCAGCACTGTCAGTGCCATCAAACCCCTAAAATGCCATGTATTTTATGGCAGCAATTTCATCAAGTGCTGCCACAATAACATGGACACAGAAACCCCCAAAATTTGGACCCAAAAAAGCATGATGTGAATGCATCATTTGCTTGTGGTGGAATATTCACATGTTAGAGGGTGGTCTGGGTGGGATTAGCCTTGATTTGGGTTTAAGAATTCCTGACTGCTTCCTGCTCACATGGAGTAAGGGAGGCAGCTCCTGCTGCCACCGGGGCTCTGGAGGCATTTACTCCATTAATTATAGTGCAGTTAATCATGGAATCATTAAGGTTGGCAAAGACCTCTGGGATCATCGAGTCCAACTGTCGTTTAGGGCTGGACAGAAAGTGCCTGGATATCTCAGGACTGAATAATTTCTGGGCTGCCTGAACACTGCCCAGTGAGTCAGGCAGGCTGGGTGAGGTGTGTTCGCTGCAGCCTTCGCTGGTTTGTTCCCCGGGTTTTTGGGGTGTTCTGGATTTTCTGGCTGTGGTCTTGATTCCTGTGCTTTCTAGAAGCAGCCTGGGGCTGTGGGGCAGTGCTGGGGGACAGCTGGGCTCGGTGATGAGAACTGGCCATTTCTGAGCCCCATTTCTGCCTTGGGAGAGCCTTTGCAATGCACAGATAAAACTCCTGGCAGTGGCTCCCCTGGCTGATGCTCCCTGCAGGGTAATGTGGCCAGCTGTGGGCACATCTGGCTGATGGTTTGTCTTGAAAACAGTCAAGAACTCCAAAAGAAACTTTTTTTTTTTTATAAGGCTCTATCATTTAAGTCTAAACCCAGCATTTTTACCAACCAGAATTCACTCAGCTGTGACCCCCCACAGGGGATTAAAAACTCCAAACCTTTCACCTCTGAAGAATTCCAAGTGGTGATTCAAGGCCTTTATCTAAACCAACAAAAAGTGCAGTTGCTGCCTGAAGTGTGATCTGGCTGCAAGTCTGACCTTTTATTGTTTGCAGAATGAAAAAGGAGAGTTTTAACTGAATTAGTTTCCATAATACACTTGCCTGGAATTACAGAGCCAGCACTGTCAGTGGGATCCCATTGTCCCTGAGGAATGTGAGTGCCCTGGAGGGGCTGGAGCTGTAGGTATGTGTTGTCTGTGTCCATGGCCCTGTACTGCTGACAAAGAATTTCCTGGAGTTCAAGGAGTAGGAGCCTTTGTTCCTGTGGAACAAGAGGGTCTGTGTTCTGCCACCCCATGGAAGTCAGTGACCCTGGGCTGCTGCTCAGTGGCCACTTGGGTCACCCCTCATTAACCAACACACAAGTGCCCCTTGTGTTTCCTTGGGCTGTGGCTGTGCCTTGTCCTGGCTCCAGGGCTGTGTCCTCAGCTCCAGGTCCTCCTGAGGAGAGGCTGGAGCCCCTCTGCTCTGGAGCCAGGCTGGGAGAGCTGGGGGGGTTCCCCTGGAGAAGAGAAGGCTCCAGGGAGAGCTGAGAGCCCCTGGAAGGGCCTAAAGGGGCTCCAGGAGAGCTGGAGAGGGACTGGGGACAAGGGATGGGGGGACAGGACACAGGGAATGGCTTCCCACTGCTAGAGGGCAGGGAGAGGTGGAATATTGGGAAGGAATTCCTGGCTGTGAGGGTGGGGAGGGACTGGAATAGATTTCCCAGAGAAGCTGTGGCTGCCCCTGGATCCCTGGAAGTGTCCAAGGCCAGGTTGGAGCAACCTGGGCTAGTGGAAGGTGTCCCTGCCCATGGCAGAGGGTGGAACTGGGTGATCCTTAAGGTCCCTTCCCACCCAAACCATTCTGGAATTCTAGTGCTGCTTGGTGGTTCTTGTCTCAGTATAGTGAGAATTGATTCTGAGATGCTGAATCACTTTCCCTGAGCTCCTTTATATCTTTCTTTTTTGTTGTTGGAACTCTAAACTTCACTTCCATGTTCTTGTTCCCTAATAATTCCCAACCAGGCACTGCTGCATTGGCTCACTGGACTCCTAAGGGAGAGTCAGTCATTCCAGGGAGAGTCTCTGCACAGTCTGTGCATCAGTGAGAGCAGCATCAAATCCCTTTGCACTTCCAGACCTCGACCAAAATCCAAGGAAGCTGAACTCCCAGAGTAGGAGCTGGAAACGCACCAGTTTGGATACTCTTGGCCCTTTCTGGTTTGGGGTTTTTCCAGTTTGCAGCAGACAGTTTCTGCAGATGGAGCTGTTGATCCCTTTGCTCTTCAGCAGCTCTGACTGACTCTGCTCTGAGAGAACGTGGCAAAAAGGGCCTTTTCTCACTCCACAGTGATGGCTTTGCTCCCTTAGACAGCTCTCCTTAAATTCCCAGCAGTTTTCGCTGGCTGTTGTTCCCAAAAATAACTTCAAAAGGACGAAACATGAAAAAAATAAGTGCTTTGTGCTGGGTGTGTGTTGTGCCAACCTGGAGGGTTGAGATGAGTCAGCTCAGGTGCATTTTCTGTTGGCTGCCAGGAATTAAATCGAATGCAGGGATGCAAATCAGGGAGGGAAAGGGTGATTATTTCCCCTTCATTTCCAATTCATAGCTGTGGATATAATGCCTACGTGTGCTCTTTGCTGTGTTTTTTCATGTAAACATTATTAAAATGCCGCTTTCGAGCCCAAATCCCGGGGCTGGAGGGGGTTTGTTGGTATTAGCGAGGTTTGCTGAGGACATAAACATGCTGCAGGACCCTCTCAGGGGGATCAGAAGCCTCACTGCAGTATATATACATCAGGGATTATGGAAAATCCTAATCTCCATAGGGGAGGCTGGGTGGAGTCAGCCCCAGAACTAAATTCTCTTGCGTGTGTAATTAACTCTGAGCTCTGGGGCAGGGCACAAACCAAGGTCACACCAGGGTTATTCTGACCAGGTTGGGTTTTTTAACAGTTTTTATTGAGGGTTACTCTGATAGAACTCCCCATGAAATGGAGCTAAGCCCTGGTTTGGGTGACCCAGCTGTTTCTTTCCGTGCCGGTGTGGGGGTTTATGAACACCTGGGAGTTATTGAGCACCAGAGCAAACGTTTGTCACCGTGTGAGGGCACAGCCTGGTCAGCACCAAACGGGGTAGCCATGAGAGGTCTCTCATTAAGGTGTTTGTTTCTCTTCCTCCCTCCCCACGTGGTTTTCCAGGCTGCAGAGGTGCTGCAATGGCTGAGCTGGAGCACAACCTCAGCCTGGCGGACGCTCTGACGGAGCCGCCCCACGAGATCGAGGAGGAGGTGAAAAGGGACTTCATTGCCACGCTGGAGGCAGAGAAATTCGATGATGTGGTTGGAGAGACGGTGGATAAAACAGACTATGTGCCACTGCTGGATGACGAGGACGAGGCGAAGCCTGGCAGCCAGGAGCCCAGGGGCAAAGCCCACCCCGATGGAATTCAGGTGGAACGTAAGTGCCCGAAGCAGCAGAGCAGAACCCAGAGCAGAACCCGTCAGGGGACACTCCTGCTGGCTGGGACAGTGCTGGGACAGGCCTTTGTCTCTTGCTGGGTTTGCTCTGAACAGCTCACTTGAAAAGCAGAGGTTGAGATCAAATCCTGTTGGTCGCTTCTCTGCTCTTCGGTCCTTCAGCCCCTAAAATAAGCTCTCGTTGCTGGGCCACAGGAGATGCTGGCATAAAACATCGTGTAAATATTATCAAATATTGTTAAAATATTAATCTTTGGGGGTTGGGTTGTCTTGGGGTTCTCAGACAAAGCACTGTCCAAATTTTGTGCTCTGCAAACACCACTTCCCAAACTGTGAGAGCTGTGCAAGGTGCCACAGCTCTGGGTGGTGGTGACAAATCCAGGGGGCAAAGGTGGATGTGGAGCTGCTGCTCTTCATCACCCCTTTGGGAGCTTCACACCCAAATGTTTAACATTTAGGTGTGAACACCCAAATCCCATGTTTCTGATCCAGGGGTTTATTTATTTGGATTTCTTGCTGCCTCTGTGTGCTGGTTATGTGCATTTATAGTAAAACGTGGTGCTGTCTTTGCTGGTTGTGAACCTTTTCCAGCCCAGTTGATGTTTAGAATCACAGAATCATTAAGGTTGGAAAAGACCTTTAAGACCATCAAGTCCAACCATTCCCCATGTCCTGTACTGGAGACCCCAAACCTGCCCCAGGACTCGAAGTGGTGCCTCACCAACCTCTCAGTGTTAAGAGCTTTATCAGAAACTCCTTAGGAAAAGGAGAGTTTTAAACAGAGATTTGCTTCCTGAGCCGAGTGAAAGGGAAAACAGTGAGATTTGGGGGCCATCCATCAGATTTCTTTCCCAGTTTGCCTGGGTTTAAGTTCTTTCCCTGTTTGCCTGGGTTCTGTTCCCTGCCCAACCGAGTGGGAATTGTCACCTGGGACCAGCAGTGCCTTGATGATCTTACTTATTTTGTGGCCTCAGTCTGTGCTGTGTAGAAGAAAACCTGTGCTCTGATAACCTGGTGACTTCTTTCAAAAGAGTTTTTCTTTTTTTTGCCTTAATCCTGCTGCTCATCAGTGTTGAGAAAAGTGGAATGTGATTCCTCAGAATAAATAAAAGCTCCAGGATCACAGAGTGGGGAATTCTGGTCTGTTTAAGGCATTTATTTATTTTGTTTGGAACTGTATCAGGTCCCTTTTGATACAGAAAATGTAACTTTGAGTTTTCCATACTGACCTAAAGCATTAAATGGTAACAAATGAGTAGAAAGATGGAAGTGAGCAAAGAGATCATAAAACGTGGAGCTTTGGGCAGTTCAGATGTGTATTATTCTATTCAATTATATTCTAGATAACATATATTATGTTATATAAATATATTTATATAATATAAATATGTTACATTATGTTATATAAATATGTAATTTAATATAATATAAATATATATTTTAACATTGCACAAGTGGGAATAACAGGAAAACACGAAGACTCATTAGCACTTTGCATATGATTTAAGGGTATTTTAAAATGATCCTTTTGTTCTAGAAGCTGCAGATTCTAAACCATCTCAGCACCAGGGTTTCTCGGTGCTAAAATCAGTAACAATATTGGTGTAAAATGGAAGTTCCTTAAGTGTGTCCTCCCAGACGTGTATCCCTGGAAGTTTACTCACAATTTCAGATAACCTGAGGATCTTGCAGTGGGTGTAACGAGGCCTTTTGGGTTTCCTTGAGCAGAGCTCGTTTCCCTCCTTCGTGGCAGGGAGGGAGGGGATGCAATTCCTTCTTCTTGCTTTGGAGATTTGTTTTTCCCTTTTTTGGGATGGCTGGAGTGCAGTTCTGGGCATTATCTAAATCTTTGGCAAGGTGCAAACGAGACCCTGAACTGAAGAAAGTGGAGAACTTGCCCTGAGTGGGGTTTGTCAGCCTTCCCACCTTGGGCTGGGGGGACACTGAAGCTCTGCAGCCCAAACCAGGCTCAGTTACCACAGGCCAGCCTTGGGATTTGATCCTGGAACATCCCAGTCTGTCTTACCCGTTTTTGAGGAGGATTCCTGTTTCTTTCAGGAGGTTTATTCAACGTTTATAACTCTTTAAAAGCACAGTAAGGCAGAATGGGCTTTATTTGTTGAGGCAACAGAACAAACGAGCCCCGGGATGTTCCGGGGTCCCAATGGGGGGTTGTAGAGCAGTGTGGGGGGGTAACACCAAGTTTTTAGGGCAGGGCTCCAGGAGTTCCGTGTCCCAGGCTCCAGACAGCTCTGTTTTCCTGAAGGATGAGCAGCCTGCCCAGATCAGGCTTTTCAGCCTCCACTTGTTCATTTATTTATGTTAAAAGGCACCAATGTGCTCCGACAGCACGGGCTGTGCTCCTGAGATTGGCTTTCCCCAGTCAGAAGAGGTTTAATCATCCATCCTGTCAGGCTCTAGCTGGTCCAGCTCTGCCCAAGGCTTTTCTTTCACTGGTTTCCTAAACCAGGGAGCGAGTTTAGGTGGGTTTAACGTCCAGCTGGGCCCCGTGGTGGAGCTGGGGGAGCACAGAGAGGTGGAGAGGAGCAGTCCTGTGGTCACCTCCAAATCTGCCCTGGAATAAAGCTTTAATAACACTTAACTTGGCAAACACGTAGGAAAGGCGTAGCTTAGGGAGAAAGGGGTTTACTCTTCCTTGCACCTGGATGGACAAAGTAATTTGGCAAATTCTGGGATAATCCCCCTGTGACCTCGTGGGCCTTACGTAACCCCAGGACCGCTTGGGGGGTGTGTTGCTGCCTGTCTGCAGCTGCCTTTCCTTAGCAATTCCAAGGTTCCAAGGGCTTCAGGACACCGTGGAGCTCCCAGTGAAAGCCTGGGAGGCTGCAGCAGCAGCACCATTGAGGGGCTCCCGGGCTGGGAGGGAGGAGATGGTTGGGTGGGAGCAAGTTCCAAGGGAAAGGAGAACTCTGGGCTTCAATAGCTTGCAGCAGAGCTCCTGGGGAATGGTTCAGTTGAAGCGAGGACCAGGATTGTCCCTGGAAGGATTGTTACTGGTGAGGGGCTGTGCAGAGGCAGGTCTGTGCCTTTGCTTCGTGGCCTTGTGCTCAGTCACTGGGTTTTTCATTGTTGCACTCGCCCAGTTCACAGACTGTGGTGAGTTTTAACCTTGAATGCAGTTTTTTGTAGGGAACTGTCCTCATATGGGCTGGGGTAGAGTGAATTTTCTCCTTAGTGTTTGGGGTTTAGTATGAGAATAACGTTGATAACACACTGATGCTTCAGTTGTCGCCAAGTCCTGCCCCCCCCTGAATCAAGGACTTCCTGGTTTCTCATTTCTAATGTAACCCTCCCATGGCACAGCCTGAGGCCATTCCCTCTCCTCCTGTCCCCTGTTCCCTGGGAGCACAGCCCGACCCCCTTCAGCTCCCCCCTCCTGTCAGGGAGTTGTGGAGAGCTCCAGGTCCCCCCTGAGCCTCCTTTTCTCCAGGCTAAACAATAATTCCTCTCTCTCATTTTCATTGTTATTGTTATATTATTGTATTTATTTCAGTTATTAAGCTGTTCTGGTCCCACAAGGTTTATTCTTTCCCCAGTTCTCCCCACCAGGGCTGGGGCAGTGACTGAGCTGCTCCGTGCTGGTTCCTTTCCAGCTGGGCTTGAACCACGACAGGACACAAACCCTGAGCAGCACTAAGTGCTGAGGTTGTTTTGACTGAATAGAGCTGGGCAGTGGCTCTGGGGCTGTTTGGAGCAGATGTGTCACCACGAGATGGCTCTGCTGGTGCTGTGGACACTGCTGGACAGCCCGTGCTGCCCACCCTGCCCTGCCGTGGAAACACAGCCCCAGAGCCTGAAACCCGAGGCCAAACCAGGATTCCTTTCCTTTTCCCTCCCTTTCCCCATTAATGAGGGATTAATGCCTTTCTTGGAGCAGGATTTGCTTCCGCAAAAGGGAGTTCAGACCCCTTGTCACGTATGAGAGTGGGGATGGGGAATGTTCTGTGTACGCTGAAGTTTCAGAGGGATCAAAGAAAAATCAGCAAATGATGAGATTTGTGTTTTTGTCTCAGATGATACACTGAACCTTCTTCCCTTCAAAGTCTGTCCAGCCCCATTGGTGCCCCAAAGCTGTTAAATCACAGAATCCCAGAATGGTTTGGGTGGGAAGGGACCTAAAGCCCATCCAGTCCCACCCCTGCCATGGGCAGGGACACCTTCCACCAGCCCAGGTTGCTCCAAGCCCCATCCAACCTGGCCTTGGACACTTCCAGGGATCCAGGGGCAGCCACAGCTTCTCTGGGAAACCTGTGCCAGGGCCTCCCCACCCTCCCAGCCAAAAATTCCTTCCCAAAATCCCACCTAACCCTGCTCTCTGTCAGTTTGAAGCCATTCCCTGTGTCCTGTCCCTCCATGCCTTGTCCCCAGTCCCTCTCCAGCTCTCCTGGAGCCCCTTCAGGCCCTGCCAGGGGCTCTCAGCTTTCCCTGGAGCCTTCTCTTCTCCAGGGGAACCCCCCCAGCTCTCCCAGCCTGGCTCCAGAGCAGAGGGGCTCCAGCCCTGGCAGCAGCTCCGGGGCCTCCTCTGGACTCTCTCCAGCAGCTCCACGTCCTCCTGCTGCTGTTCCCAGGGCTGGGGCAGCTCTGCAGGTGATTTTGAGACAGAACATTTAAACCTATAAATTGAAATCGATTAGGCTCCTGGTTAACACCTCCCAGCCCACCTGTCCTGCCCAGAGCTCTCTTTGCCCTCGGGGGTCCCGTCCCTGCCCGGGCTGGGCTGTGCCCGGGCCCTGCTGGAGATTAGGGGGTTACATTGGCACTGGCCATTTGCTTGAGATTATCGGTTTAGCCAGTGCTGCCTTAAATTTGTTTATATAAAAACAATCCTTTGATCCACGAGCCAGATGCAAATGCTATCTTGTGATTCTGATGGGGATTAGGTCGTTACAACATCTTGACATGTTTTTGGTTTTATGCAATTTAGAATATGAGGGGAGGAGACCCGGCCCCGGGAAGGTTCTGGGTGCTTTGCACTTGTGCTGTAGCAAACTCAGATCAGATTGATTTGCTCCAAAGGCACTGACCTTCAGAGCCATAAAAATAACAACCGCTCGTGCTGCCTGGAGTTGGTTTGATTTGACCTGATTTTTCTGGAAGCTTTTCTTCCAAAAAAGGCTGAAGCTGTAAAGGAAGCAATTTTACCTGCTCTTATCCTCCCCGACGAAAGACACGGCATTTCTGAGTCTTCTGCTCGTTTAGGAACCCACTTTGAGCCAAAAATCTCCTTTAGCTTTCTCCTGGTCGAGGGTTTGATGTGCTGATCCTGCTCTGTGGAATTTGTGGGACACCATTGGCTCTGAGCTGCCCTTGTTTCCATCTACCACGGGGTTTGGGCAGCTTGGCTGATGTTTTGGTAGGGTTTTCTTGTTCCAAGTTTGCAGAGCCCTCAGTAGGACAGGTGGGGGTGTCCTGGCTTTTCGTTTTGTACCTGGAGATCAGTCTGTCAGTGAAACCTTCCTGCAGGTGAAGTGCCTGTTTTCTGAAGAGCTGAAATCACTGGGGTGCCACCTGAGACAGCCCTGAGTGGGCCATGAGCAGTGCAGAGCTGACCTCAGGGGCACACAGACTCCTTCCAGGGGCTCCCTGGTTTAATGCATCAATAAAGGTGGTGGCATCAGAATCATGGAAATCATCCAGGTTGGAAAAGCCCCCCAAGGTCATGGATCCCCCCTGTGCCCGATGCCCACCTTGTCCCCCAGCCCAGAGCACTGAGTGCCACAGCCAGGCCTTCCTGGGACACCTCCAGGGCTGGGCACTCCAAACCTCCCTGGGCAGCCCCTGCCAAGGCCTGACCACCCTTTCCAGGGAGAAATTCCAGTTGATGCAGGGCCAGGAGTTGGACTTTAATAATCCTTGTGGGTCCTTTCCAGCCCAGGAGGTTCTGTGATCCCTGCAGCCGGGCTGAGCTCCCTCACTGTTCCCTGGAGGGTCCAGCAGGTCCTGTGTGGCTCCCCTGTGTGATTCCTTGGAGATCTCGTGGCTGTTCCTGCTCGTGTACCCCTGTCATCTGTGACACAGTGTGGTACCAACCACCCCAGGCCCCCCATTTCTCCTTGCCTGGACTGCTCAGGGAATTCAGGGACTGCCAGTGCTTCTCCCAGTTCCTAGTTAGGACCATCCACTGTTCCAGTGAACACCAGCCCTTGTAAGGCCTGGCAGCAGGAGGAGCTGGTGTGTGGAGCTGCTGAGAAACAGGTCCAGGGATCCCTGGAGTATTTTCAGCTCCTTCAGGAGGGTGTAGGTGTATGTTTTTCTGTAAACTGGCAAGTTCATGTAGAATTTTCCTAAAACACCACAGTGAGCCACTGATGTAGCTGGGAAGACTTTTCCATGTGCTCCCCTGAGGGTTGGATTAAGCTGTGTCTGAAGGACACTGGTGCCATGGCTTTGTTATAAAACGAGCTCAGGGAAGGGGCAGCAGCAGCTCCAGGTGACTGAGTGTGTGTCACTCTGGGAGTGAGCTGTTGGTATTTATTTCAGGCTGTTTGAAGCCAGGGCTGAGTGTTCCTTGCCCCTGGGCAGAGCTGATGGCCCGGGGAGCTGAGCTGCTCTCGGGGCTTGTGCTGCTTGTTACGCTCAGCTAAAACTACTCATGTCATAAAATCAGAGAGTCCCAGGTGGGGTGGGTTGGAAGGGACCTGAAAGCTCATCTCATGGTGGGGAAAAACCAAACCTTGTGTGTGGTAAGGAGAGGGACTATTTACAAGGGCCTGGAGGGATGGGACAAGGGGGAATGGCTTTAAGCTGAAAGAGGATAAATTTAGATGGAATATTGGGAAGGGATTCCTGGCTGGGAGGGTGGGGAGGCCCTGGCCCAGGTTGCCCAGAGAAGCTGTGGCTGCCCCTGGATCCCTGGAAGTGTCCAAGGCCAGGTTGGAGCAACCTGGGCCAGTGGAAGGTGTCCCTGCCCATGGCAGGGGGTGGCACTGGATGAGCTTTAAGGTCCCTTCCCACCCAAACCATTCCATTGAGTCCTCACAGTGTTGGGTTTGGGTTCTGGGTTGGGATTGGCTGCATCCAGTGTTAACAGCTGCTTTGATTCCCTGCAGACTCCTCAGCCTGTGGCCCCACGGTGGTGGAGAACGGAGACCATGGCCTGGGAGATCATCACACAGGTACGTGTTTGGTGTCCCCAGGAGACACAGCAACTTCTGTGTTTGTTGTCAGAGCACTGAACCTTCACCATGGCCAAATGCATCTTCTTTTTGAGTCTGATTTCCTCCCAGGGGATTGTGTTTGGTTTAATGATCTTTTCAGACAATTTCTGGCAGAGTAAAGCTTCGTTTTCTTTGGAGTTTGAAGTGGCTCATTTGCACAAAGCCTTGCTCTGAAGGTGTTATATTTTTATCCATGGTCAGTGCTGGGAAGGCAGCATCCAGGGCTGTAATAAAAATGGTTTTCCAGTCCATAGCATCCAGAGCTGAGCTCTCCCTGACCCGTGACTCCTGCTGTTCCCTGTGAACTGACAGTGATTTTTGTCCAACTCCACCATCCTTTGGTGCAGTTTTCCTTCACTGCCATGACCCTGCTGAATTCTGAGCTTCTCCTCCCACCCCAAACTCCCCTGCTGGAACATCTCCCACACCTTTAGCTTGTCCCAGGTGCCATCCAGGCCTTCTGGACCCTGTTCTGTAGCATTAGGATGGTTTTGACTGCAAGAAACTCGTGACTGAAGTGGAGAAATATTTCAGACTTGTGAGGAACCTGGAAAATTACTGATCTTTCTAATCAGCCTGATGTGCTGAGGTTGGTCTTTTCTTAGTTGTAGTTAAACACTGCTTCCCTTTGAGTCTTCTTTGCTGTGACTTCCACAATTCCAACCCATCTGTTTCCTTCCATGGTGAGGACTCTGACTGTGGGATCTCTCTTTTCTTGAGGATAAAATATTCCAAAGGCAGTTGTCATCCTGGCATTGGTAAGAACTATTTATTTGGTCTCTCTTGTCATGCCCTCCAGCTCATCTCTAGTACAGATCATTGCTAAGACCGTTTGGGTGCTCCCAGCATTACACCCCTCCTGATCCATGGGCGTGGCCCCGAGGGGAGAAAAGTAATCAGGAAATAATGATGAATGTTTGGGAGATGGGGATGAATTAAAACATCTCTCTGTTACAATTCTCTTTAGAATATCAGAGTGTGATTTAGAGTGTGAGTGAGTTTCGTGTCCTTATTGAGGATGGGACTATGAAAATTGATCTTTGTGCTTAATTTGACATTGTAAATTCAGTCAGGATGAAGTTGTGCATCTTTTGTCGTTTAAACTGAAATTAAGAACACTTCTGAACCTTCCTGAGGATACTTCCTCCCTCTTTTTTAATACTTATAACTAAAAGGACACAGAAATATAATCGGATTTATGATACTCTGGCTCTGACTAATTAAATGCATCGTGATGTTTGTACTGAACTTCTGACTTGTGTTTAAAAAATCCTTTATTTGCTTCGCTCTTGCTTTGTGGGGGTTTTAACTCTTCACACACTAAACGTTAACAACTTTGATCAGAGATACTTTTATGTGTCTGAGGCTTTTTAATTTATTAATACGTTCCCTCTTTGTGGGGCAGAGTTGGATCTCTTCTCCTCTTGTTAAAGTCTTGTCTAAAAGCGACATCAAAGCGGTGGGAGCGGCACGTCAGAGCTGAGGAGTCGTGGGCATCAACTTAATTAGGCTTTCCAGAACAACAGAGGGTTGATACGACACAATTCCTTCACAGCCTCTTCCCCCTGCCCCCCTCCTCGGTGGAACACTGCGATGTCCCTGGTTATCCATCAGGGAGGAGGAGGAATGCTGCATTTCCATCGGGTTTGCAGGGCTGAGCAGCAGCTGATGCTCTGCAGGAGCGCCCGGACCAGGTTCTGCCATAGGTGGTGCTGCCCAAAGCAGCCCTGCAGGCCCTGGCCCTAAGCCACCTCCAAGCTGTGGTGGCTTATTTCCAGCTGGATCTACTCCCTAAGCTGTGTCTGAAAGCTGGAATGGTTTTTAGGGATGTGGGATGTGAGCCCAGTGCAGAGGTGGGAAGTGGAGCGGCCAAGGGAGGACTGAGGAAGGTGATGCTCAGGGAAACCAGCATTTTGCTACAAACCCCAGTGTTGAAAGCCACAGAGAGAGCTTTGAAAAGCAGAATTGGGTTGGAGTTGGATCGTAGAACAGACTCCAAGGAAAAGGTGCTGGGAGGCTGTTTGATGGCACAAACACGGATCTCTCCGGGCTGGAGCACAGGAAGCTTTGCTGCACTTCTTTGTTCACTAATCAAATAAACAAGGTGATGACTTGATATTATGACTTGCAACATTATCTACAACATGTGGGGGGTGTGCAGAGCTTGGAATTAGTCAGGACTGAAATCTTGGCAGCCTGTGCTGCCTCCAGACCGATGCCCTGCTCCAACATCCCCTTAATGCAGCACATGGCACAAACCCAAAACTCCTGGACCTGGGGGGCAAACCCTCCGTTGGTGTTGAATTGTGTTGGCTCTGACAGTGCTGTTTAAAGCATTCCTGCAGGGATGGGCACAGGTCAGGATTTTGGGAAGGGAGGCAACGGCTCGGGGGGGGTTCAGTTCTTGGCAGTGCTGAGCTCTACGTGACCATTGGTGTCTGGCTTGGGGGGGTGTTTTTTGGGAATTTGAGAGCTGCATCTGGCTTTGGGTGCTCGGCACATCCACTGCAAGTCTTGCTGTTAATCCAGTTCTTCCTTATAAGGATAAATAGAGCAGTTGGAGCAGCATTCCGAGGGAAGGCAAGCACAGAGCTGAGGGAACCAGCAAGGGAAATCATTAATAGTGTGTAATTCCAGATGGCATAAGGTGGGGAGGGAGGGACCTCACTGCTCCCCTTCACCATGCAGAGATTAGGCAGGGCTTAGTGAAGCTCTGACAGAAGTTTTAAAATTAAAAAATAACGTGGGTAATTTTCGATTTGCAACTCCTCGTTGCAAATAGGATATTTGCCTAGAGTTCAAAGGAATTCTATGTTTAAAAATAAAAAACCAACCAAATTTCTGGCCACAAATCCGTCAAGGATGATCACATGGTTTAATCTGGGTGCCTCTTGCCCCAGGTGCTGCTCATTCTCTTGCTGGCAGGTGAGAAGTACCCAGGGGAAGTATCCCAACGTTCATGCTCCCCTTAGCTGGGCTTCCCCCTCCTGCCAGCTGGCTTGGAATTCTCACATCCACGATTGGGTCACAGAAATACTTTGTTCTCAGTGCAAACTGTGCCTTTGGGCAGCACCCTGAGCTCTCCTGGGTGTCACTGACCCAGCTCCATTCCCAGACACTCCTAAAAGCAGAATTAATTCCATGTGTCTCCAAAGTGGCTTTTGGCAAATCTCCTGGCTGCACTAAATGAAGTATTGCTTGTTGAGCAGTGTGTGCTACCTGGATGTTCATGTTTACTAACGACTTGCGCTTTCTTGCCCCTCTCCCCATCCCCTTTCCCTCTCCTTCTTCTTCTCCTCTCTTCTATTTTCTCCTCCTAGAAGCCTAGACTGTCTCCTAACACTGGGGCTGCCACTGACACAAGACCAGTGTCCTTTTCTACCTGCCATTACACTTCTAAAATCTTCAGCATTTTACAGAGCTCTTGCTTTGCCTCCTTGGAAGAAGCCAAAGGGTGGCCGTGCTGGCGGCGCTCCATCCTCCTCCTCCTCCTCCCTGTGCTCTGCAGTGCTTGTTGAAACCTTCCTCTCCTTGTGTAAGCACAAACGTGCATGATGTTCTGAACTGCACCATTCGGGTTTTAAGTCACAACCACAGCTCCATTTTCAGTTTGATCACTTTTAAATTTAATTTCTCTCCGTTTTCATGGGTGCTCAGCGACAGAAGGTTGGAGATTCCAAGTTGTGCTTTCCTAGCGGATGGGTGCACCATGACTGCAGCTCCTTCCCCTCCTCCCCACACTCACCACAGCCTTGTAGAGTTCCTGCCTTTATCCCTGCTGCTTTAAAACCTTCCCACATCAGGTTTTTGTCTGTAATGATGTTGTTTTCTTCGAAAGGGGTGTTTCCAGACCGTAGCACTTGCTAGACTTGAGAAACAGATTAGGGAAAACCACGTTTCCTGAGGTACAGGTGGGTCATCTCTGGGGTGGATTATGGGGTTCGAGCACTTGCCATCAACTGGGAGTATAAAGGAAAAGAGCCAACCCCAAATTCCTGCCTTAGGAAGCTGCTTTGCTGTTGTGCTCCTTCCCGAAAACCCTGGAAGTTAAGAAAGGGAATTGCCTTTCTTTAACTTCACCCCTCAGGCTTCCTTTGGGGAATGACAGCCTTGGATGGAATTTTACCTGCCATGAGAAAATAATCTGAGAGAAACTAAAGGACTAAATTGTAAAATCTACCCTGAAATAATGCTGAAGATTTCCAGCAGCACCAGAAGGAAGGGGCCTGTTTTAATCTAAACCAGAGCTACAGGAGCTCAGCAAGTGCAGGGAGGTTCCTGCTGTGTCCATAGCAGTGCAAAGCTTTCCAAACACAAACCAGACCAACAGAATGCGAAAGGAGGAGATAATTTAGAGAGACAAGGCAGTATTTTACCCGAGACAGGCTCAGCTGGGGTTTGTGTAGGTGAGGGGATGTTCTGTGTGAGGGTGGTTGTGTTGTGAAGGGTCCTTTGCCCACAACACCTGATAACGGGGGTTTATTGAACCCAAATCCAGTCCAAGGTAGGACCTGATTTTCCAAACTGCACAAAAGAAGTGCACTGAGACCTTCACTTGCCTAAAAATATTTTTTTCTTGTTGTGAAGAGGCAGGTTACACCTGAGTGCCCCTGGTACCCTCTAGTGCCCATTACTGTGCCATGATGCTGCTCCACTCAGGATTTATGGGCTGGGGGTCTCCCCCTGAGTGGATCCTGCTGTTTGTCCTGCTCTTAATGCCCCAGAGGGTTTGCTTTGAGGAGTCCCCTCCATCGGTGACCCAGCCAGCCTGGATTTATTGGATTTATTGAAATTACCACAGTCCCCACCCAGGGTGGCAGTGCCCAGAGCTGGCACTCCCTGTCCTGTTCAGTGATGTGCAGCAGGACCTGACCCTTTTCTCCTCTCGTTGGGTGCCAATTTATTGCTTTACCCACCAGTCAGGGCCTTGTTTAGTGGCTGTGACATCTTTGTGGTGC